TCTACCTAGTTTTTCCCTCCATGTCTGAGGAACAAAAGTTAGTCACAGATCATGAATTCTACACTCAAAGAGCACCACCTGTCTTGGCAGGTCAGGCAGGAAACAGCTGGCCTCTGAGGTTAGCAGGTGATTCTGTCTTTTTATTTTAACTAAAATATTCTGGCCAGCTGTCTTTTCTGGTTACAAGGTACTAGACATTGAGTCTTAAGAGGAGGGGCGGAAATGGAAACTTTTATAATTTAATAAACTTAAAAAAACAAAAAAGAAACAAATCTAAAAGTGTTTCATTCTTCAAGAGGACTGGTGTAGTTTTTGAACCATGTAGCATAGTAAGCATTAAGTTTTCTGGGTTTAATTATAAGTACACTTTCCCCATGTCCCTTTGATCTTATAACAGGTATTTTAGGCATAATATAGACTTTAAACCTTCTCTATGTAATCAGATGTTCCCAATTTTCAGTTGCCTACATACAAATAAGTTCCTAATATCATCTATCCAAGAAATATTTCCTGGAATCAACAGGACACATTAAGTATTCCTTAGTGGGTTCAACTAAAGCAATTTCTTTTTACAGCAAGTTGGGGTAGTCATAAAATTATGCTAAATAGGAGTAAAGAAGCATAGGAACGTTTATCTATTTCCATACTATTCCCATTAGTTTCATCTTTTCACACATTCCCCAGAGGAATTGTTCTCCATCCTCTCATTATTCTCCTTTGGCCAAATGACCATTGAAATCCCTCTAGCAACATCAGTAAGACCATGAAAGAAAAGACCCAAAACCAGACATCCTTCTGGGGAATCATGGACTATCGATAGAGCAGAATCTTCTTGCTGGATCTATCTTACAGCAAGCAACTCAACAGTACTTTGCCATATACTAAAAACTCTACACTCCTGTGTACTCCCAGGAGATGCATGGGTCCTGCCAGTCACCCTTCTAATTTACATATGCTTGACTCACAGAATCACTTCCCTTCTTTCACTTGATAGTCACTATGAATATTATAAATATGATAACAGCTACCAATTGGCTGGCACCTGGTAGTAAGAAGTTCATTACAGTATCACCTTTTATACTATCATTGTCCTTGCTGGGAAACTCAGTTTATTAGTTTGCATATCCTTGCTGAAAGGTCAGCTCTGGGGAAGAAGAGGCTAGATGAAGCAATTGTGCCTCACTAGGGTTCCTGAAAACATTTGGCACCATCTTCTTTAAAGTTTGGCTTATTTATGTGTCAACAGCACCTTTCTCCTGAGAACGTTAAGTACTCTGACTATATTTTCATTCCAAAACCTTCATGGATCTTGGAGTAAGGCTGTGCCAGATGGGGCCTGCTCCTTGGCTTATAAAATGCAGATTCAAAACCAGACAGAGTTAAACCATCTTCTCTCAAATCAAACACACATCCTGCACCCCATGCCTCCAGCAGCACTTCTATCGACACAGGAGGATTTGAAGCAAATCCGAAAGGTTTCGTAGCCATTGTTCTCTGTGGGTGCTCAGAGTCCCCCACCTCCACAGAAGCATCAAGAAAGATGCTCAGGGACCAGACAAAAGCAGAAACCTGCTTCAGAAATGGACCCACAAGTTCAGGGTCCATGCATCTAGCAGCCTTTAAATCACATTTTATTGACTGTGGTTAACGGGACAGAAAACAAAGGTATTTTACCATGGTGAGGCTCTTAATCATTCCCAGTAAAAGAAGCAGCAGATCAGGGCAGTATCCACTAATAGAATCATTGAAAGAAAGTTTGGAAGTCCAGGGTGAATGACATTGAACAGAGGCAGGTATGTCTGTTCCTTTTGTTTCCATGCATTTCTATGCACATAATCGGTTTTTTTTGGTAATTGCCCCAATAAAGCGGGCACTCGGACAAGGAGATTACTGATTACATGAAAGCAACCTCTTACTGAGCAGAAGAAAAAGCACTGAAATAGGCTTTTGCTGTGTCTTTTGCACAGGCTTTATACACCAGACATTTCTGATGATCTGATGTCTTTGAAATAGAATCTTCATGATTGATTGCCAAATCTGCTTGCTGCCTCATTCCTGTTGGAGACACCTTTGTTGTTGCTGTTCTTTCTTTGGACTTCATGTGACTCCTCCATCCCCTCAGCACTTCACAGTAGCCCTGCAAAGTTGTTTAATGTGTTTGTTTCTGTTTGGTCTAGATTTTGATTTACTTTTTGGTTTTCTTTCTTTCTTTCTTTCTTTATTAAAAATTTCCACCTCTTCCCCACCTCCCTTTTCCCTCCCCCTTTCCCTCCCCACATCCCCCTCCCTCTCTAGTCTTAAGAGCAGTCAGGGTTCCCTGTCCCATGGGAAGTCCAAGGTCCTCCCCCCTCCATACAGGTCTATAAAGGTGAACATCCAAACAAACCCGGCTCCCACAAAGTCAGTCCATGCAGTAGAATCAAAACCCAGTGCCATTGTCCTTGGCTTCTCAGTCAGCCTTCATTGCCAGCCATGTTCAGAGTGTCCATTTTGATCACATGCTCCATCAGTCTCAGAAGGAAGAAGGGGAGGATTCAGGATAGCTTGGGGGAATGGGATGGGTGGGAAGGAGGAAGGATGTATATGGGAGCAGGGAAGTAAATATCTCAACTAAGGGAGCCGTTTTAGGGTTTGCAAGAGACTTGATTCTAGAGGGGTTCCCAGGTCCAAGGAGAGGTCCCCAGATTGTTCCCTGGGCAGCAGAGGAGAGGGTGCCTGAACTGACCTTGGCCCATAGCCATACTGATGAATATTTTGCATACCACCATAGAACCTTGGTGCGGGAGAATTATCTGTATTCTGTCAATCATATTTTAATAAAACGCTGATTGGCCAGGCAGGCAGTATAGGCAGGAAAGCCAGACAGGAAGTAGGGGTGGAGCAAAGAGACTGGGAGTATTCTGGAAGCAGAAGCTCTCTCTCAGCCACTCCTGCGCAGACCACCGAAGAGGCAACATGTAAGCTGTCACACTGAGAAAGGTACTGAGCCCATGTGGCTAACATAGATAAGGATAATGGGGTAATATATGTTATAAGAGTTAACAAGAAGCCTGACCTAATGGGCCAATCAGTTTATAACCTTATGGAGTCCTGTGTGTAATTTTTCTTTGTTGCTTGCCGGCTGTTGGGGTACTGGGAGGGACAGAAACCCCAACAAGCCAGCCTTCATACTACAGAACCTTCATCTGGCGATGGATGGAGATAGAGACAGAGACCCACATTGGAGCACTGGACTTAGCTCTCTAGGTCCAAATGAGGAGCAGAAGGAGGGAGAACATGAGTAAGGAAGTCAGGATCACAAGGGGTGCATCCACCCACTGAGACGGTGGGACTGATCTAATGAGAGCTCACCAAGGCCAGCTGTACTGGGAGTGAGGGAGCATGTGATCAAAATGGACACTTTTTGGTTTTCTTGAGATGGCATCTCACTCTGGAGCTGAGGATGACTGGACTATTATAACCCATAGGCTAGCCTTGATCTTACAGCAGTTCTCTTGCCTTTGCCTCCTGAATTAAGGCATTCTTAGCCACCAGGCCTAGCTTAGCTTTGCCAAGTTGCTCAGGGCTTCCAGGAGCAGGAAATTCTGAAAACTGAATATGACACCACCCTAGGTACCTCACATACACTTGACTGTGTTTTTTCTGTTACTTTCACCAAACATTCATTTTATTCTTTTCTCACCCACTCCAAGACCCCATTAAGGTAACTGTTTATATCTCTACCTATATCTATATATCAGGTCAATAAGTTCACAAATAAAGGTGGAGCCTCATTGTTTTCAACAAGAAGTTGTACAAGTGTGCTGGGAGAATTCTGGAAGGTGTTTAGCATACCAGAATATGTCAATAATTATAGTTATTTCTCATTTTGTTGCTTTGGACCAAGTTTCTGGAGATGGTCAGTGTTTTAGGAGACCCACAATCTTTTTTAAGCCTTCGCTGAGAAAGAATAGGGGTTTGGGCTAGAAGAGTTCAAACCTTATGCTATAATCCCACACATATTCAGTTGCAATATTTATTCTGTGTTGCTATGACAATATATCTGAGGCTAAATGTTTATAAAGAAATCTATTTACTTTACAGCATTAGAAACTGTAAATCCAAAATGTAGCAGTCTGCTCAAACTCTAGGGAACTAGGTGTTTGACAAGGAGAACAGAAATGCATGTGAATGTTAGGAACCATAGGGCCCCCTTTGCTGTCAAAACATGACAAATAAGCCGGAAGCAAAACAGCGTCATCTAAAAAGGCCTCTGTGTGTGTGTGTGTGTGTGTGTGTCTGTCTGTCTGTCTCTCTGTCTGTCTGTCTGTCTCCTTGTTCATTTTGGGGGGATTAGTTTTTTGAGATAAAGTATCTCAAAAATCTCACCTGTTTTGTTCTGGAACTCACTTTATAGACCAAACAGACCTTGACCTCACAAAGATCCACCTGCTCTGTCTCTTGAGTGCTGGAAGTAAAGGTGCCCACCTTCACCTGTCTCTTAAATGAAAAGCAGTGGACTTCCAAAAGAAGGCAAGATCTTTGGTGAGAAAGGAAGCAAAGGGAGTCACTTTTTAATAACCCATGCTGGTGAGAATTAACTGAGATCCAATGAGAGCTACATTCATCCCTTCTAAGTGTGGCACCCAAAATGACTGAGCTACCTTCCCTCAGTCCCATCTCTTAAAAGTCTCAATACCACCACACAGAGGTCCTGACTTTCAATCTATGAACCTTGGGTAGAAAACCCAGCCAAGTCATAGCATCTTTGAGGATGAATCTGAAACTTAGAGTGAGTGGAGATGAATATGAGGCTTAAAATGGGAAACATGTCATGCAATCAGTTGCAAGTAGAGGAAGATTAGGATCAACAAGGTGGGTGTTCTGTGTCTGCTTTACTGGTAATGGACTTAGTCATATTTAGTCAAGAGATTTGGATTTGCAGCTGATTGACCAGGACATGCTAGAGACAGAAACTCAGAGGTGGTATGCTGATGCTGCTTTCTTCCCCTCTTTTCCAGACTCCAGATGCTAGAGGCCATCTGTAAACACTGGGAGGGGCCCATCAGCCTGGCCCTCTACCTGTCCGATGCTGAAGCCCAGCAGTTCCTCCGCTATGCCCAGGGATCCGAGGTGCTCATGAGCCGCCACAATGTGGGCTACCACATCGTGTATAAGGAGGGTCAGTTCTATCCTGTCAACCTCTTGCGCAATGTGGCTATGAAGCACATCAGCACACCCTACGTGTTCTTATCTGACATTGACTTCCTGCCCATGTATGGTCTCTATGAGTACCTCAGGTAAGGACCCCAGGGGACCTGACTGCTCTGTTCACTCTGCAGGCTGGCATTCACATAGGATAATGAAGAACTAGAGCAGAAGGTCCTCAGTTAGAACCATTGTCCAGTCTGCCACTCACCTTTTATAGGTAGGGCAACTGAAACCCAAAAAGGAAAAGGGGTCTGCCCAGAGATTGTTCCTCCCTACAGTTGGACCCTTGTTAAAGGGTTCCTACAGGATTGGAAGATGCATACAAAGTTCTATTGTCCCATGCATAGACTGGGTCTGAGTTTCCATAGTGACATGTTAATTTTTGTATAGAAAAATTCCTTTTGTTCAAAATGCCTGCCCCTCTTCCAGTTTTCCAGCAGACAGACTTCCTGTAACCATTCTCAAAAGATCACTGCCTGCTCTTTAAAGCAGACCTAAGTAATTATGATGCCTAACATATGTTGAAGCACTTGATGTGTACCTGAAAGTGATTGACAGATAAGATCTCATTCTGTTTCCTTTTCTCGTGGTCCATGCCACAGATCATATTTTTGTCTTCATTTTACAAATGGGAAGCTGCTTAACAAGACTGGACGATGCTGTTCTATGTTCCATAACTAGAGCAGAGGGAGTCACAGCACAGGACACCTAATATTAGAACCATATGAATTTCCAGTGATCTTTTCTACCTATCCCTACATAGCAGGGCAGAAAGGAGTACACTGGTATAAGGCTGGGTGGCTCTATAGAGAATTACATTTACTGCAGCATCATAAACAATATGAATTGAAAGGGACTGTAGAATTCATATGGCTGGAAATTGTACGTGGGAGAAAAGTAAAGTCACTGGGTATACGTGGTTCAAAAACATTGTTAAAGGGCCCTTTTTCAACTGTCATTTGTCAGCATGGATTTCCTCTGTGTCTAAGATAGTGCCTGCTGGAATCCCATATCCCTAGAGATGCTTTGTACATATTGTCTTTTTAAGATGCACATACTAATCCTCAGAAGCATGTGGAGCTGCCCTGTGTGTTGCATCATGGGTCTTTAAGACTTGAAAAGGCAAAATAGCAGTTTTAAGTCTGGAGACCTTGCAGCCATAAGACTTGAAGCAGTGTCTGACAGGTCCCTCTCTCAGACCTTGCCTAACTACTCTGGGGTTTCTAGCTGCCCAGGATATGTTCTCCAGATATTGACACCCCTTTTCCTCCCATTTTCCCTCCATTTTTCCCTCCCTCTCCAGCAAGAGAAGGCATCCTTGTTAAGGTTGAATCCACATTCAACCTCTAGCACATTAGACTTTCATTGCAAGGTGTTTGAGATATCAGTCCCTTCCTGGTAATCATGGACGAGCCCCCTCAGCTGTCAGGGAATGAAAGGGTGACTGACCCCAAGCAATATAACCTTCCAGCACAGAGTTGTGATTCAAAGCCTGTGAGTGAATTAGGACTCCTGACTCTGCCAGAGTCCATTCATTGATTTTTCTTCAGGTCCAACTCCAACTGGGTGACAAAATTCCAGTATGTAGGACAAGGCACCCCGTACCCCATATGATCAGAAGATACTCTCAACTCTGCCTTATCCCTCTAAGCTTGGGAATTTTGACAGTTAGCAAGATGCTAGGTTACATACTGGAGGTATAACTAGGTAATTAGGGCCATCCTTGGCTTAGACTGAGAAGAGAGAGGTTAGAGGACTGTGCCCTGCCCATCCATAACCTAGGATTTTCCTGAGAAGTCTTTACCACAATGAATTGAAAGTTAACAGGCCCTACTCTCATCTCAGTGGCCCATTTCCCAACTTTATCTCATGGGCAGCATGTTTTACAACACAGCACATAGGAATAGGTGTTTGTTTCTTCTATATCTGTATCTGTCATTGGACAAAGACTTAAAATTGCTAATGGCAATTCAGTGCTAGGCAACATGTCTCACCACTATCTGTTTTATTTAGTTCAAGGGTCACCTTATGAATCTCATCAGAAATTTTGGGATATTACAGATTGCTCTTCAAACCCTATCACTTTCTTACTATTTAGAGTTCACAGACTTATCTGAGCAAGAGCCATCTCCCCAGGTATGGAATTACCTCTGTTAGAATAGGATTGTAGTTACTCACTCTATATGTTTTCTCAGAGGACCTGAGTTTTCATGTGTTCTAATGTTTTAATATTATCAAATAATAGGCAGCTGGAGAGATGGCTCAGCAGTTAAGAGCACTTGTTGCTCCTACAGAAGACATGGGTTCAGTTCCCAGTACCTTTCCACGTTTCTACAGGTGGCTAAACTTGGGTACCAAGAAAGTGAAGGAGTAGTAGTTCATAGCCGTTCATTTTCCCAGAGAACTGACCCTCTCTTAAACCCAAGCTCACTTGTGACACACATGCATATGTATAGTCAAAACACCAATATACATAAAATAAAAATCTTAAAAACGTGCAAATATTTGAAAATGAGTTTTTAATGCTATGGAACCAAACTATATCTCTGGGCAACATTATTCCTCTCTCACCTGCTCACCAGTGTGTAACCTCTAACCTACATTGTTTCTAGACACCAGAATTTTGAGAGTCTGTAAAAATTCAATCAGAAGGCCAAAATAAATTCAGTCTCATTTTTTAATGTAGACAGCTATATTGATTTGATTTGCTTGAAGAAAAAATATATAGTGATTACCAGGTATTTGCTTCTGATGTTAATCACCCATGGGTACATTTGAGAGCAGTGTGCTATTACTAGTTTAAGATGAGCTTCAGGGTACTATTTGCTACAATATATGTAGTTTCCAAGAAGGCCAGTAGAACCTGGTAGAGACTCACTTTTTCACATGTAAATGTAGCAAAAATGTTTTATTCAAACTCTGTTAACCTCCAAATAGTAATACCACAAATATCACACCCTGGAAACCCTGCCAGCTGAGGTAAACACTTCTATAGGTGACTAAACATAGGGCCCAGGGAAGTGAAGGATTAATGTCAGAAAGAAGAGAAAATGGCCTTCTACCTGCATAGCTTGCTTACTGGACAGCAAACCAGTTCATTCCTGCATCCAAAACTCCTGCTTATGTTACATTTTTTAAGGTCTCTCTTAGTTCCTAAAAAAAAGTTTAGCATTTCAGCTCACTGAACAGTTGCTTAGCAACTGCTAATATTATAGCAAAAACAAACAGCTCATTTGGAAAATAATGAAGTTGTATCTATGCATAGGCAGAGCTGCAGAGTATCACCAAATTCTCTTCCAGCCCAATCTGTGTCTAGTAAAGTAGCTGTTAGAGACCCAGCTTTCATGCTTGATCACAGAACTGTTAGTAAGGTCAGGGGCCATGTAGAAACCGCACAGACCTTCATTTGAACAAGTACATGACTTGGGGCAGCTTGCTCCATTTCCCAAAACTTTCCCGAAAAAGCTTTTCTTTTTTTTTCAGCCAAAGAAGGGGCACTGATATCCCACTGCTGGGTTATAGTAGATGTTCCACAGGAATGAATTCCCTACCCCATGGCAGGCTCACAGTTGTCAGTTTGGGACTCCTTTGCCAGTTCTCACTGCAGGACCTTCCCTTACAAATGCCCCGCCACCTTCAGGACAGTTGGGTAACTGCGTGGAACTATTTCATTTTTTTCTCTCATGGACATGAGAAACAGATAAATGGTATCTGATCTATGATGGTTAACTTTTTGATTTTTCAACTATATAATGATGTATCTACAGAACCCATACTTAAAGATTTTGAATTTTGCGGGTTTTCCCAGCAAGCAATTAGCATAGAATCTTCTCTTGATTCTAGGCTGAACAGTGACAGAAGCTCCAGTCAACTGTGTGGTGTGGGACAACTGATACTCCACACTGTGCTACAAGACTAAGCTATGATGTTAACTAGATTAGGCATAGTAAATGGATTTCCCATACACCATGCTTTCAATGTATGATGAGTATATCAGGATGTGACCCCATTTTAAGTGAAGGGGATTCTATCCTCATATATGAGTTTCTTTTCTGTTGCTATGATAAATTACCATGATCACTGGCAACTTAAGGAAGAGAAGGTTTATTTGGGCTTATGGTTCCAAAAGGATAGACATCCATCCTGGCAAAGAGACATGACAGCAAGTAGCAGGTATGATTGCAGAACAAGAGACTATGAGCTTATATCTTCTGCCACAAGCACAAAGCAGAGAAAGCATACTGAAAATAGGTGAGACTTTTAATCTCCAAACCTATCCTCAATTTACATACATCTTCCAGCAAGGCTACCCACATAAATCTTCCCAAACAACACCGCTAGCTTGAGATCACGTCTAGAAATTGTAAGGCATATTTTGCATTCAAATCACCACACCTCTTTAGAGAACATTTACTTGGGCTTGGCATCTAGGTACCTCCATGTTCCTTGACATGAGGATCATTCCATTTCTTCCTCGTGAGTCTTAGGAAGGCTAGAAGTGATAGGACAATCTTCCTGTGACCATGCAGTGGATACCTGGTATAGAAGACTGAGTCAAAATGACTCAATCTGGGAACAGAAATATCCTTGTGGCAGTTCATGTTTCAGTGAGATCAAAGAAATTTGTAGAAATCCCTGCAGAATCAGATACTCTCTGTGGCGGGAAAGGAACTAACCAGAGCCTATTTATAAGGTATGCTGCACATTGGGTCTGTCTGTTGCAATATAGGCTTTGCAATATATCCATTTAGTGTTTGATTGTAAGTAACAGATAGCAGTTCTGTTATAAGAATATAATTATAGTAAAAATAAATCACATGGTAAGTATCTTCTAATGGAATCAAAGTAGAATTGGAAAGCCAGTGCAGTGAGACCAAAGTTAAGATGAGCAGCTCTAGGCATCTCTGCAACAGAAGTTCAAAAACCTGCAGAGGCCCAACAAAGTCATCTGTGTGGTCTCCCAGGCTCTGTTTCTATATAAATTGCCAAGGGTGAGAAATGTGTTTTTTCCCTTAGGCCGAGTATATACCCCTAGACAGAGCAGGCAGCTCTGAGAGCAGCTTTTATAAATAGCCCTTTAGAAAGGAGAATTAGTTTTGAGCATGGCATTAAAACAAATGGCTTTCAGGGTAGCTGCAAGTGGGAACCAAAAGCTCAGTCAGAAAAGAGGCTTCCTGGGCAAGCTTGAGGACCTGAGTTTGATCTGAGAATTAAACAAGAAAAAGCAGAATGTAGTAATGTATGCCTATAAACCCAGCACTGGGGATACGGAAGCAGGTGATCCCTGGAATTTGCTGACCTAACCTGATTGGCAAGCCCTGGTTCCCAATGAGAGACAGTGTCTCCAAACACAAGATGGAATGAGGAATGATAGATATTCCAAGAGTGACCTCTGGCTTCCACACAATGCACCCAGAAATATGTAAGCACACATACATATTAGTAACTGTGATTGCAATAGCTGGGGCTTATATAGAGAACCTCATGTTTATATATGCATATAAATGAATGTCCTGTTCCCTTCATAATTTTGCCCTCCCTACCTCCTACTCTATTTTCATGCAATTTATAGCTTAAGTTTCCACAGATGCAGTCTTGCTTCAAATTTAGAGATCTTTGTCCTCAGACTTTTAGCATATAGAGCCATTTATGCCATCATGTAAGTACTATCTGGGCAGTGTGTGGTGGCTGTATTTCTATGTAGCTGGCACATGATGGATGGATGTACAGTGATCACTGACTAAGTAGCAATATCTTGTGTCTTAGGGTTTCTTTTGCTATGAAGAGACACTATGACCACAGCAACTTTTATAAAGTTTAATTGAGTGACTTATAGTTTCAGAAGTTAGTCCATTATCATGGTGGGATATGGATGCATGCAGGCAGACATGGTGCTGAAGGAGGAGCTGAGAGTTAATCTATCTTCATCTGCAGGTAACAGAAAGTGAACTGAGACAGTGGGCGTAGATCTTGGGCGTAGCGGACCTCAAAGCCTGCTCCAGCAGTGACACACTTTCTCCAACATGGCCACACCTACTCTAACCAAGCTACACTTCCTAATAGTGCCACTCGCAGTGAGCTTATTGGGGTCAATTACATTCAAGCTACTCTATCCTCCAACATTTTTATGCCCTAGAGTCCCAGGGACCCAAGAATATTCTTTAGACTTAGATTCTTATTTTACATCTAAAATAGGTCCATACCTTTTCTGGGAGAAAGGTAAAGGGCTCAACTGTGTATATAATGTAGGTTTATTATAAAAGCCTGATTCTAGGTATCTGGCCACAGAGGAAGGAACTGTAGATATGTGACAAACAAGGGGGAGAAGAATGCAGGCCAGGACAGATTGACTGACACCCATGACTCTCAGACTTGCTGAGTATAGTTTACAGACATCTGTCTTCTGTCATCCTTTATAAACTTCTGTAGTAGTGATGTGGGGCTGTGTATCACTGTAGTTATAAGGACTCAATATAGTGATATTCAAGGGATTCCAAGATGAGCTTCCAGGATACTTCTTGGACACCACTTATCTATTCACCAAAGTCGCATAAGACTAAAAGAATGGTCTCAGAAATCTGTCCTTATCTGTCCTGGTTCATAGTCTTCATCACCATTAATCACCATTAATTGTTATAAAGTCCTGACTATGTGCTTCTCAGCCTGTGGCCCTGTTCTGCTCTGCCTTGGACCAGGTTAACACAGTGACTAAAACAGAATGTGACTTCTCTTTGAATATCATCTCTAGTCCGGGCTTTAAGTTCAGACTCCAACTTTTGTTAAGTGAAGTGGCTTCACATGGCTATGAAGGCTGCTTCTCCCAGGATTTTTCAAGATGCCTTCCAGTGTCTGCCATTCCCTTAAGCCTTTCAAGCTGTTTTCTTTTTTCTATTGTAGAAATAGACACAGAAGGTCCATGAGTGCATTAAGATCCTAAAGTCAGTGGTATGACTATATACAACATGAAGTACTAAGATCATAGCCAAAAGTAGATCAGTAGATCAGGCCACAGAATAATAACAAAACTGCAGATGATACTTTCTTCTTATCACTGCATACGTGCATCCTACCATGTGTACTACTTGGTGTGATATTGCCTCATCTACGGTAGGCAGGAATTATTGTCACTATTCTGGGCAGGAGAAATGTGAGGTAGTGAGAAGCTCAGTTATTTGACCAGGACAAGACTCAAAGTAGCATTGCCAGAATTCAAATGCAGTTTGTGTTTCTTAAAAGTATCATGCTATACTGCTATCTCTGAGCCTTTCTCCTTTTCCAAGAGATAGTGTTGGAACTGGTAGCCAACAGTCCAACTCAGGGGCAGGAGCCAGGTTCTGAGGAGCAGAAGACTGGGTGGGAGTCAATGAAGTTGGAGAACTCTTCCAAGTAATCCATCAGACTTCTGACTTACCTTGACTGGTGCTGGCCATATATGGAAAGGGTTTCTACCTACTTTGCAGGTTCAGGGTCAGGGTTACCCCAGAGTTGAGGGGTCATGGGTGGTCTTTCCTCTCATTGGTTTTGTATCCCTGGTCTTCTATGACTTGTAGTGTTGTAGCAGAGGTGGACATAGGTTCTTTGAGACTTTCCCCTTCTATTCTTGGCTGTGATAGTAGTGCACACTGCAATTCTGTGGGCAGTAGACCCGCCTCTACTGTTTAGCCTGCTCTGGGTTAGCAATGGTAACCTGTCAGTTCCTCTCTGTGCTCTGTATGAGGCATTTGAACAGTTGCTTAACCTCCCTGGACTGTCCATCAACTTATCTTCACAAGGAAGAGACTTGATCTGACATCCATGGCACCCTATATCTCTGTTTATATCTCTTTTAGGAAGTCTGTCATCCAGCTTGACCTTGCCAACACGAAGAAAGCAATGATTATTCCCGCATTCGAGACACTACGATACCGACTCTCTTTCCCCAAGTCAAAAGCAGAGCTTCTGTCAATGTTGGACATGGGGACCCTATTTACATTCAGGTGAGTGACCCTCACAGCAAACATCTGCAGTTCCCAAAGCACCTCTCTCCCAGGACACCCAGATGTCAAAGATGTTGGCAAAGAGGTCAGTGTGTTGCATTAGTCCACTATAAAACCAAAGAGAGATACTAATCCCGGTGTCCTTGGGACTCTGCTATTCTTTCTCACTGACATGTTATTTACTTTGCTTTATACATGGATGGTAGGGACTGCATCCAGATGGAAAGAGGCTTGCTGGGGCAAGAAGCCACACATTTATGTTCATACTTTAAAAGGCATGACAAATTCCATTTAGCACCTTGTCACTATCCCTTAGCTCAGAATTCTGCCTTTGGTGTACATGGTAATGTTCTCTAGAAAAACAAAATTGATAGAATGAATATACATATTTAAAATAAATTTATTAGATTGCCACATGCAATACAATCAGAATGGTCCAAGATTGTTTCTCTTTAGTACACATTGAAAGGCTGAAGAAGCTGGTACTAATACCACAGAAGGAACTAGCAGTGGTAAGAGGAATTGGATAGATGAATTTGTCAGCCAGAGTGAAAACCAAGTGAACAAAAAGCTTTCCTTCTTCCAGGTCTGGCTATTACCAGTAGGTAACACCCACATTTAGGGAAGGTCTTCCATATTAATTAAGGCAATCAAGACAATCCCTACACAGACTTTCCCACAGGGCAACCCAATATGTACAATCCCTCACTGAGACCCTCCCATTCTCCCTACTCTCTACCTTTCTCCCTACCCCTATGCTTCCAACCTTTGCCTGGTGACCTTGTCTGCTTCTAATTTACAGGAGTATCTGTATATGTTTTTCTTTGGGTTCACCTTATTACATAGCTTTTCTAGGATCATGAATTATAGTCCATTGTTTATGACTAGAATCCACTAATGAATGACTATATACCATATTTGTATTTTTGAGTCTGGGTTAACTCACTCAGGATAGTGTTTTCTGTTTCCATAATTTGCATGCAAAATTCAAGATGTCATTGTTTTTTACTGCTGAGTAGTACTCTAGTGTGTAGATGTGCCACACTTTCTTTATCCATTCTTCCATTGAGGGACATCTAGGTTGTTTCCAGGTTCTGGCTATTACAAATAATGCTGTTATGAACATAGTTGGACAAATGCTTTTGAAGTATGATTGAGCATCTCTTGGGTATATTCCCAAGAGTGGTATTGCTGGGTCCTGAGGTAGGTAGACTCCCAATTTTCTGAGACACCGCCACACTGATTTCCAAAGTAGTTGCATGAGTTTGTATTCCCACCAGTAATGGATGAGTGTTCCCCTTACTCCACATCCACTCCAGCGTAGTTTATCATTGGTGTTTCTGATTTTAGCCATTCTGACAGATGTAAGATGGTATCTCAAAGTTGTTTTGATTTGCATTTCCCTGATAGCTAAGGAAGTTAAACATGTCCTTAAGTATCTTTTGGCTATTTGAACTTCTTCTGTTGAGAATTCTCTGTTCAGTTCAGTACCCATTTTTAATTGTGTCATTAAGAATTTTAACTTCTTGAGTTCTTTATGTATTTTGGAGATCAGACCTTTGTCTGATGTGCAGTTGGTGAAGATCTTCTCCCAATCACTAGGTTGCCTTTTTGTCTTAATGACAGTGTCCTTTGCTTTACAGAAGCTTCTCAGTTTCAGGAGGTCCCATTTGTTCATTGTTGGTCCTATTGCCTGTGCTACTGACGTTATACGTAGGCAGTGGTCTTCTGTGCCCATATATTGCAGGCTACTTCTCACTTTTTCTTCTAAACAGGTTAAGTGTGGTCATATTTATATTGAGGTTTTTAATCCATTTGGACTTGAGTTTTGTGCATGATGATAGATATGAATCTATTCTCATTCTTCTACAGGATGACATCCAGTTATGCCAGCACCATTTGTTAAAGATGCTTTCTTTCAGAGTCAGTCACCTTGAGCAGCGAGAGTGCCGTGGGCCGAGCAGGGGCTGCAGGGAAGTGGGAGTGCAGATTGAAAAATGCAGACCACCAAGGCACTGCTTGTTACTTCAGTTCTGATCTGCTTCTGCACCAGGGGTCTAATCAGGCCTGTGTCTGCTTCCCTCTTGAATAGACCAGAGGCCCCATCTAAACAGGTTAAACAGCCTTCCTGCAACAGCTCCCTACTCCAGGTGGCCAGACGGGAATTCTAGACCAGTGTTGTTTCCATGGCCATTGACACAGCTGCCAAGTTTATTGGTGCTGGGGCTGCCACAGTTGGTGTGGCTGGACCCGGGGCTGGCATTGGAACAGTGTTTGGTAGCTTGATTATTGTCTGTGCCCGGAACCCATCTCTCAAGCAACAGCTCTTCTCCTATGCCATTCTGGGCTTTGCCCTGTCTGAGGCCATGGGCTCTTCTGTTTGATGGTTGCCTTCCTCATCCTCTTGCCATATGAGGCTCCATGGGGTCACCCAGCCGTCCCTGCTGCTTGAATTCCATGCCAGTCCTGGTGCTGGAGTGTGCTAAGCTTTACCATTAAACAACAACGTTTCTCAAAAAAAAATGCTTTCTTTCTTCCGTTGTATAATTTTAGCTTCTTTGTCAAAAATCAGGTGTTCATAGGTTTGTGGATTAGTATCCAGGTCTTCAATTCAATTCCATTGGTCAGTGTCTCTGTTTTTATGCCAATACCAAGCTGTTTTCATTACTGTAGCTCTGTAATAGAGTTTGAGGTCAGGGATGGTAATGCCTCTAGAAGTTCCTTTATTGTATAGGATTGCTTTGGCTATCCTGGGTTTCTTGTTTTTCCATATAAAGTTGATTATTGTTCTCTCAAGATGTGTGAAGAATTTTGTTGGGATTTTGATGGTGATTGCATTGAATCTATAGATTTCCTTTTACTATGTTGATCCTCCCAATCCAAGAGCATGGGAGATCCTTCCATTTTTGGGTATCCTCTTCAATTTCTTTCTTCAATGCCTTAAAGTTCTTGTCAAATAGATCTTTCACTTCCTTGGTTAGTGTTACCGTGGGGGGAAAAATGGGCTGTGTTCTGCCACCCGGCTAACTTTACCCGAAATAATTGCAAAGAAACTGTATTCATTTAAACATTGCCTGGCCCATTATATCTAACCTCTTCTTGACTAACTCTCACATCTTGAGTTAACCCATATCTAGTAATCTGTATATCACCATGGGATCGTGGCTCTCCAGGAAGATTCTAACCTACGTCCATCTCAGGCCAGAGCTTCATGGCGTCTGCCTGCCTCTGCTTTCTTTCTCCCAGCATTCTGTTCAGTCTACTCCACCTATCTAAATTCTGCCTTATCAAAAAGCCAAGGCAATTTCTTTATTAACCAATGAAAGTAACACATAGACAGATGACCCTCCTACATCATTACCCCAAGATACTTTATGCTATTTGTGGCTATCGTGAAAGGTGATGTTTCTCTGTTTTCCCTCTCTGCTTCTTTATCCTTTCTGTATAGGAGGGCTACTGATTTTTATGAGCTGATCTTGTATTCTGCCACTTCATTGAAGGTATTTATCAGCTGTTGGAGTTCTTTGGTAGAGTTTTTGGGGTTGCTTATGTACACTATCATATCGTCTGCAAATAACGAAAGTTTAACTTCATCCATTAAAGTACCAGTTCCTTTGTCTTTCTCTTCCTTCCCCCCCTCTCTCTATCTCTTTCTCTCACATCTGACTTTAGTGAAAATTGCTGCATTGATGAAACTGAAGCTTAAGTTTCTGCCTTTTCTTAGCCTGTCCTTCCTACCCAGCAAAACATTGAATTTGCTGTATGGTTTAATGAAGGTTTAGAAGAAGTTCATCCTCTTTGATGAAACAAAGACTTAGGAAAGAGTTTCAGTCCTGCCACTTGTTAACAGAGACTGACTGCCCTATTGCTTTCTGGCCCCCTGAACCCAAATAATCACACAGAAACTATATTAATTACAACATTATTTGACCAATGGCTTAGGAGTATTCCTACCTAGCTTTTATATCTTAAATTAACCTATTTCTATTAATATGTATAGCACCATGAGACTATGGCTTACTTGTAAGTTTCTGGCATCTTTCTCCTTTGGTAGCTACATGGTGTCTCCTTGACTCCACCTACCCTCTATATATCTCTATTCATATTTCCTACCTGACTTTACTCTGCTAAATCTTTGGCCAAAACAGATTTATTCATCAACCAATAAAAGCAACACATATGCAGAAGGACATCCCACATCAGCCACTGCAAATGCAACCTATCTTGGGGCATTTATTCTCTCAGACATGCTAGCTTTACATAGATGTTTCTAGATTAGAGATATTAATTATCTGTATTCCTCTCTCCTACAACTAAGCTATTGGATCTCACCCTTACTTTCATTTCACAAAGCTTTTCCATCTATCCCTGGTGTCTTAGTTAGGGTTTCTATTGCTATGACAAAACATCATCACAAAAGGAAAGTTGAGGAGGAAAAGGTTTATTTGGCTTACACTTCAACATTGCTATTCATCACTGAAGGAAGTCAGGACAGGAACTCATACAAGGCAGCATCATGGAGGCAGAAGCTGCTGCAGAGGTCATAGAGGGGTACTTCTTAATGGCTTGCTTATCATGACTTGCTTAGCCTACTTTCTTATAGAACCCAGCCTCAGCAGCCCAGGTATGGCACCACCCTCAAAGGGTTGGGCCCTCCTCCATTGATCACTAATTGAGGAATTCCTTATATCTGGACCTGAGGGAGGCATTTCCTCAAGTGAGGTTCCTTCATGATAAGTCTAGCTTATGACACATTGACACACAAAACTAACCAATACACCAGGGTACCATGTTTTCTAACTTCTTTCTGATTTTGTTGCCACTACTGTGACTTTATTTTACTCCCTACATCTTCCTTCCCCACAACTTAACAGTGACAAAATCCTACCCACTCACTGGTCTACCTCTCAGACACCTCTCAAGTTTTAGATTATCCATCCACTCTTTCACAGTGCACTCTCTCACATAATGAAACTGGGCACACAAATAAGAACAGAGCATCAATCTAGTGATATGAAAGGAGAGAGTTTTGGATCTTAGAGCTGAAAGGAAATTTTTTGAGATGAGTTGGGAACCTAAGAAGGAATGTGGTAAATTCGTGGACATAGAGTGCAAACAGAATCCTAATTATCCTCAACCCCCTGCTCTTTCTCCTTTTGTATGAGTGTTGAGGACAGTGGCACAGATGATGGCCTTGAGGCTAGGCTACCTGGGCTTTGTTAATATTTGCAACCCAACATTGGATACATTTTTTGAATTTAAAACAATATGTATCTAGAGCATTTAAAATAATCCCAATACATAGTAAATTTGTAACTAATACAATTTTCTGTTTGTCATGTGGTCATTTCTCATCACCAGATAGCAAATTCCATAAACACAACACTGTAAAGCAGTAAAGACTCAGCCTCACTGTCTGTCAGCTTGCACTGAGTAGCCAACTCTCTGCCCACAGTATCACTGGATGGAAAGCAGATGTCTGAAGAAATACAGGTCTCCTCCAATGCGACATGCTCCTCTTTCTGTTCGTTAGATACTGGTAGGATTTCCTCCCTTCATACCACAGGATAAGGTCTCATCTTTACTAGCTTTTGGATGTATATCCTCATTAGCTCCTAGTTCCTTGCTCTTCACACCCTGACTTCATAAAGAGCTCACAACATGATTCTTCTCTTCCTTCCATATCTGAAGAATCATGAGTCATATCAGACCTACCTAGGCAATCTCAATTTTTGTTAGTACAGAAGCACCTGCTTAATAAGCTTTATATCTATAAAAATCCACTCTTGCCACAGAATATAATATAAACAGAGGGTATCCAACTCTCTGCCCCATCATTGAGGATCAAGCAGAATCACCAGATCACCAGTGGTCCCTGGTGGGAATTATCAGATATAGATTCCATGGTGCCAAGTGTGTGAAAGTTCACTGACATTTCTATGAAGTCTTCTCTGTAGTGACAGATAACTCTGAGAAACTGCATTAATTTCCTGGGGCTCCTGTAACAAAACACTACAAAATAGGTGACTTAACACAACAGTTGATTATTATTTAACAATTTTGTGAGTCAGAAGTTGTTTTCCAAAGCTCTAGGAAGGACACCTTCATTGTTCCTTTCTGCCTTTTTGCTGGTGATTGCCAGCAATCCTTGATACCCCCTTATGTTTTGATGGATCTGTTATTCTAAGCTCTGTTTGATCTGCACGTTAGTCTCACTGTATCTGTGCGTCCAAATGTCCCTCTCATAAAGGGACATAAGATTAAGTCCCACCCTAATTTTAACTTAACTGTGCCTGTAAAGGTCCTGTTTCCTGTTAAAGGTTTGAATTTGAATGAAGGTTTTGCAGGGACATGGTACATCCCACTAGGAAAAACATATCAAAATGCATTTCTTCTTCTTCCACACCACCAGGGTTGGGAAAAGCTCAGCTTCCATCCTTTCATTCCTTGGCCAATCTCTGTATTTCCCAGGTATCACGTCTGGACTAAAGGCCATGCACCCACAAACTTTGCCAAGTGGCGGACTGCCACCATGCCTTACCGGGTTGAGTGGGAGGCTGATTTTGAACCATATGTTGTTGTGAGACAAGACTGCCCTGAGTACGATCGAAGATTTGTGGGCTTTGGCTGGAACAAAGTGGCTCACATCATGGAACTGGATGCACAGGTAGGAACAGAGCAACTTACTGCTATTATTCAGGGAAGGAGACCGGTACAGATATTAGAACTGAAAGAGAACCTTGGAGAACAGAAGATTAAAAACAAACTTCAGAGGAACAGGATGTGGTCAGGGACTAAAAATGAGAACATGAATCTGATTTTCTAGGCTTTAAACCTCAAACTTTTGTTCTTGCACATGAGAATTGGGTTCCTGGCCAGGATTAGGCAAATGTGAGTCTCCTGCAATGTATCATCTTACCCCTCCATCCAGTAAGGAAGGCAAGCACTGGATGACTTGGCCTTCAAATTGTATAATTGTGTCACTGTAAATAGCACAAAACAGGCCACTAAAATGTGGTTAATTATTCAACCCTTCAATTAAAACAGCAGTGACTTTTAGATTGTGTTTAATCTTGAAAACCTTCATTCATTTATACAATACTTAACAAACATATACTTCAGAAGTCTGCAGAATTTAAATAAGTGAAGCCTAGGTACTGCACACTTTCTGCAAAAGACCAGATGGTGTGGGACCTGCAAATCTACCTTGCACCTGCTCAGATCAAGAATTATTTATCCTCCATAGATGGCCTCTAAATAAATGTGCATGGCTGGATTTCAGTACCACTTCAGACAGCTACAAGAAAGGCTGTGGTTTGTCATCCCTGTGTTGAGCACAGAGGCACAAAACTGCTCTGGTTAAGTTAGGGGGATACTTGGATCCCTTGAATCCCACTATTCATACTCTTCTTAGGCTTCTCCTTTTTGCCACAGTGTTAATATTTCTCAGCAAGAGTACTCCAAAATCTGGGAACACTAAGTTAGGTTAGTGATGGCTATCCATGAAACACTTGTTCCATTGAGTCTGAGCCATGCTAGGTGACTGAGAACTATTGGTGTTGGGAGAAGGTTGTGGAATAGTGTCCTCATTAAACAAAACAAAGCTTGATATCCATCCGTTGATACCCATGTCATAACCAACATAACTGTTTACAGATCATGAGCTTTGGCCTGCCTTTGCTGTTCCTAGATAGAACAGTGGTATTTCTGGGAGCAGAAATGTTGTGTGGAGAACATTTAAAGCAAAGTTTATTTTTCCCATCACCAAGGCCTTATTTGCCTTTGTTTTAAACTCTTTCACGGCGCTTTTGCAAACGAACCATATACTCTCCTCTATTTGCCTGTGGTATTCATAATGCACAATTTTACCCATTCCAGGGAATTAAGAAAGTAAAACACTCATAATCGTCTCTCAAGATAGATTTTCTCACTCTCACTGTGTAGATGAGCAAACCAAAGTTTAGATGACTCCGATATTTGTACAAGTTCATGGGCATGGTTCTGAAACAAGTTACTCTGTAGCTAGTGTGCCCCCTTTCTAGTGTTATTCTCCAGTCTCTTGATTCAAAGTCATATATAACCCAAGGCACTTGCAAGATCTCTCACTACCTTGTCTTCCTCCTTCCAGGAGTATGAGTTCATCGTGTTGCCCAATGCCTACATGATCCACATGCCCCATGCCCCCAGTTTCGACATCACTAAGTTCCGTTCCAACAAGCAATACCGCATATGTCTCAAAACCCTGAAGGAAGAGTTTCAACAAGACATGTCTCGACGCTACGGCTTTGCTGCCCTGAAATATCTCACGGCGGAAAACAACAGCTAGCACTATGAAGACCACCACTGGTGAGAGACATACCACAGAGGAAGAGCCACTTGCTGCCTGGGGCCCAGCCATTGAAGACAAACTGTATCACTGTTTTCTTTGGTTTGTTTTCCTTTGTCTCTTTGGCCCCTCAAAGCTGCTCTTTTCCATGATCTTGGACAACAACCCAGTCCACCACCATGAGGTGCTTCCAGAATGGGACATGGAAGGGTGGAAGCAAATAAAGAGTAAACAACTTACCACAAAATCACAGACTAAGTCAGGATTTCTGAATGCTCTAATTGCTTTTTAATAATTACGGTTCAAATCCTAGCTGTGGAGAAAGAAGTGGCTATTCTACGGATTAATAACTCCAAGAAATAAAAGCAAGCTACTTCTTCCTAGGAAGGGAATTTTATTTCCCCTGCCACCTAGCCAGGTACCCAAGTGGAGAGCAAGCCAAGGATCCCAACTACCATCTGGAGACCTGCACAGGGACATTATATATGCAGGGACCTAGAAGTAGGATGAATTAATTCTTTATTCTCAAATTCTCTCTTGTTTTGAGTTGTTTGAATTTGGGGGGTACTATTCATTTTGATCTAGGATTCCAAGCTAAAGCAATTATCTAATCATTAAAGCTCTAAAAGACAAATCAACTCCCTCAATCAGCAGTGGCCCGGCAAAGATGAGCTTCCTCAGAGAATGTTCACACATGGACAGCTTCCTTCAGAATGAACACTGAGATCCCCTGATGCTGAGTTCCCACTCTCAAGACCCAGAGTTTTGACAGAAACTACAGAAAAATGAAGCCAAAACTGTATGCAAGTCACATTCTTCTATGGACAGTAACTAAGTCACAAGGAAAGGGCTTCAAGGAACTACTTCAGTACTCACAGAAGGTATGATTCCTCTCTCAGGCCTTTAGAAGAACTTAATAGTTCACAGTAACCCAGTCCGAAGACTTGTGTGACCACATGGAAGCCACTGGAAGAAAGGGGTCTGGCACTTACAGAAAAGGGTCATGCACTTCCCTTTTGGAAGCACAGGAGTTAGTGACCTTAGTTTCCCTCAGGACTTGTCCTGGGGTTGGTAAGCGCCTCTTCACTTCACAGATGGAGGAAACACTGAACTTTTTACTCATTTCCTTTACTCTTCACTATTAATGTTGTGTTTCCATTGATGAGAACAAGAGTTAATGGCCTACCCATTGCTGGGCTGTTTGTATTGAGTTGCTATGTGACTAGTGAGAGCTGCATTCAATAAACAAAAGTATGGACTGTTTCTTCCTCATCTCCCTCCACTCTTGAAAGAAGCCCCTTGATCTAGAGGGAAAAGTCAGTTCCATGCACAGTACCTCACACTCTGTTATCTCATCTCATCTTTCTCGTTGTTTGAAATGTTACATTTTTTTCTCTATGTTCAAAGTTAGATCTTACTTTCTCCTCTAACCCTCAACTCATTTCAAAATTTCTATTTTACATCTGTCTCACCACTGTAGTGGTGATGTTTTATTCTAAGTATGCAAATCGTGGAGATCAGAAGCAAATTAAATAGCCTACTCTTAGGTCTCTCTTGTCCCCTGGAGCCCCAACAGTCCAATCAGTGAGACCACTACATTCAGTATGTTTAACAGTGTTTCCCCTGTATTTGTACAAAATGAAGAAAATTGTAATTAGGATTGTCACATAGACACAGATAAGTTTGTTTCTTTGTTAGTTACTTATCTTGTTACTGTGATAAAATATTTGACAATAGGGTTTATTTTGGTTCAGAGTTTGAGAATGCAGCCCAGCATGATAGGGAAGACATGGCAGCAGGAACTTGAATCCACTGATCACATTGTGCCTATAGTCAGAAAGCAAAGAGAGATGAGCATCAGCACTCAACTTGCTTTCTCCTTTTTCTTCAGTCAGGGACCCCATCCAATGGGATGATGCTACCCACACTTAGGATGGGATTTCTCACTTCTGTTAACCTAAATAATCTCACTCAGACATGTTTAGAGGTTTGTTTCTTGGGTGATTCCCCTAGTTGATTCTAGATCCTAGCAAGTTGACAATATTATCTATCACATTATATATATATATATATATATATATATATATATATATATATATATATA